GCTTTCTTTCCAAAATCCACTCTCGTACATTAGGGCTCCGGGTCTGCAAGAACTGCTCTAGGACCAGTAAGTCATTAAGGGCTTCATAGGTAGTAGCTTGTACTCCTGTTACCCATTGCCGGAACGTGGTTTCTAATTGTGCAACATATAGAATGCAGCTGGATGATGGGCATTGCTGCATACTCCTAAACTTTTTCCTGTAAGACTCAGGAGTAAGGTTAAAAGTTTTTTGCAATGCAGATTTGATTGCCTCATAGTTGTTATCAGTCTCTGGGGGAAGGGACACAAACACATCCAAGGCTTTCCCTTTCAATTGTGGAGTTAAATATCTGCCCCACTGGTCTGAGGGTAGTTGATGCTGCCTGCATACTTTCTCAAAACTTTTTAAAAATACATCCAAATCTGTCCCTTCTTCGAGGGAAGGAAAATCATCCTTACGGAGCCTACGTGTGCTGGACTCTGATGCATTGCTGTTCAGTGAGGACTGAAGGGTAAATTGCAGTTTAGCAAGTTCCAGCTCATGTCTCCTTTGTGCCTCCCTTTCGGCTAGCCTCTCTGCAGATTCCCTTTCTGCAGCCTGCTGTTGGATCATCACATGCAGGGCCTCCTGAGGATTTGCAGCCATCAGTTGCCGAAATAAATCAGTTGAGCAAATGTCCTTAATGTTTTGAGGGGTACAACCACCAGGAATTTCAGTAAGCAACACTCCTGCAGTAGTAGGGAGCTCGGTAACCCTTTCAGTATCCGTCTCTGGCTGGAAAATATGGCTGTCAGCCTCCACAAGGTCAGCAATAAGTTGTGCCTTATTTTTGCCAAAAGTTGGTAAATTCTTTTCTTGGCACAACAATTCCAAGGCCTCTTTTGATTGTTTGCGATAGGCCTCCATATTCACAAATAGGATAGAGAAAGAAAAACAAAAGATGGGAGGGGAGAACTGTTTTGCACTTTGTATGTATTTTAAATCAGCACTGAGCTTGGTCTTTGGAAATTACACAAAAACAAGTATGCAATTTCTTTTAGTGCTAAGACCCCCTTTACAGGTAAAATCTAGCAAGCACTAAAAATCTCTAAATATATCCCACTAGCTGCCGCCAGTTTGTCACGAGCGTGGGCTATAGGCCCAGCCGAGACAGTGGGGAGAGTGTGGAAGTGACAGGGTTAATGACACCAGACCCCTGGTTACCTGTTGCTAGTCCCAGCAACCACTCAATTAACCCCTGCAATCCCTTCTACACTATCCCCTTTAGTACTACTGCCACCACCAAGACTTTTAAACCCGGGCGTCTTAGGTTACCCCACACACAGGAGAATTATAGTATCACCGTTCTACTTTTACTGATAAAACATATATAGTTAACCCCTTTTGGTAACGTGTTTACCTGAGCTTTCCTCTGGAGAGTGAAGCTCATAGAGAACAGAGACACAAGCTGATTAAGTAAACATTTAATCTGACAAAAAGGATTCACAGTGCTGAGTACAAAATACAGAAATAAATGAAATACAGATAACAAATTGCAAAACAGTACATAAAATAAAATAGGAGAAAACACAAGAAATTCCTTACATATATTTACCCCATATAGAATTCTTGTGGGAGTCTTAGATGGTATAGGTCTCCTAGAAGTTACTGACAAAAGAAAAATGAATAACTGACTTCCCTGGATAGTCCAACACCCTCATATATCTAAACTAGTTGTTTCTCAGTGGGCAGACCCCTGGGGGGGATCAGAGGGGGCTGGTCTGGCAGTCTATTGCCCACTCTATGAAATTCCTTGTGTCCAGCTCTGGTGATGGCTATCTAGATGTTTTATGGTCTAGGCCTGGTGCAGGATCAAAGACCACAATAAATGTCATCCCAAGGTTTACAAAAAAACTACTCTTAACATATATAAACACACATCAAACACCAACTCATGCTTTTGGCATGACAGGGTAAACTTATCATTTTTTTTAAACAAACAAACAAAAAAAAAAAACACGAAATGGCTCTGAGTATTTTGGTTGTTCTGAAAAGTAATTTTTAAATGTCTTTAATTTCAGTATGCTCGTGGTCTTGATGTGTAAGTTATGTTTATGGCAAGGCTGTGTTGTGTTTATTTTGCATATATTTTTCTTCTTTAGGGCAGCACCAGTATTGAGAAATGCATGGGTGTGCCTCCCAAAAACCCTTTTTTCTGTATGTTTGATGGGTGAACGTGTGTGTGTATGACGGTCACTGTCTGCAGAGGTTACTGTAATAGTGTGAGTGGGTGGGTGACAGGGTGAGTGAGGTTGTGTGTTGCCTGTAAGGGTGTGTTTATGTATGAGGGTGAATGTGTGTGCAAGAGTGTGGCTACCTATGTATGTATGAGTGACTATGGCAAGGTGAGTGCCACAGACTGGGGGGGGTCATGTAAGGGGTGACTTCTGGTGTTTGGGAGTCAGAGGGTGACTGTGTGTGTGGGGAAGCTATATTTCTATTTCCTGCATCCCAAACCAGTATTTACTTAAATATTTAAGGCAACCGACAATACTCACTTACAGTCTATGAATGGAAGGGGGCACTGGCAGTAATCTGCACTCACTGAAGGTGCAGACCTGCTACTCCCTCAATCAAGTAAGCAGCACAGTGCTGGTCTGACTGAATTACCTCCAGCCGCTGCATGGTTTTCTTCACAGAGTCAGCGCTAGTGGTAGTGCCAGAGACTTCAATAGGCAACATATTGTAAAGAAACTATGCTTGCAAAAAATAAATTTGCAATATTAAAAATACTGAATATAGAATTATGGTGAATAGATGCGTATTCTGTGATTGGGTAAAGGATGAATATAACTCTTTGTAAAAATAAAACAAACCAAAAAAAGTTAGTTTTTTTTTTTTTTTTTTACTTTTGAATGTTTAACTGGGCATGTTTATTAGGTTCCCGCCCCATACAAATCTGCAAAAGAAGCTGTAAACTTACCTGGAATCCAGTGCCGGGTGAAGCTCCCTCACTGGATTCCATACCTCCACCGATGCCCTTTTGTGATCCAATAAAATGCTTCTTATTGAGAAGCATTTGATTGGACAGTTTCACTGGCTCATGTGCACTGACATGCTCACGATTGCCATAGTTAATGGGTTAATTCTTATAATACAATCTAGCTCTAGCCCATAGTCAGCAGAGAAGGATTAAGATCCCACATAGCCCTAAGCAGGGCACCGCATTGGGCCCCCCCTTCGTTCTCTACATAGTGATGGTACACACTGAAAGGATAAATGCTGTTCTGGACTCAACTCCCCTCGATTCTCGATCCCCCGTCACCACATCAATTGATGGGAGATCTTGTTTGGCAAATAAGACACACAGACACGAAAGAGTGCTCAACAAGTTCTCAATGAGTATATTTTCAGGGCTAGCATTTATACACAGTTTGTCATGCAAGCAGTGAGATCTATAGTGTCCTTGTAGTTAATAGTACATACTTGTCGGACATGAAAAAGATAAGCATTTGGATAAAGACGAGACAGGAACATCCTAAGGTCAAGGAAGGTCATACATCCTGTAGACGAAAGACCTTGGTACAAAATACATCTGCCAAAGTCAGCATAATTATTTCAAACATTATTTTAAAGCAAGAAAGAGTTTAACTATTTCATATCCTTACAGTCAGTACTAATGATTATAAACCTTATCTAAGCATAAAATACATATGAACAAGGAAAGTTAACTATTTCAGCTTTCATCCCCCCTCTTTGAGCAATACACTTGCTCATATCATTGATAAGATCTTCCCAGGACAGAGACACTTCCACATTATGGCATTCCCAAGCAATCATGTGGTCTACAAGAAAGAGAAACTAAGCAGGAAAAAAGACACTTAATACTTTTACAGACAGATATATAGAAAATTTATGTTTAAGACAAAATGGAACTTGGGCTTATAGCAAATATATTATTGCAAATAGCTGACATGTTAACCAATTTTAAACAGACTAACCAGCCTGTCATCTGTATCGTAAGTCCTGGGTAAATATGGGCAAAGTGTATTATTCCCAACAGTTATTTTCCTCTTTTGTCCACGGAAGTGGGCGCATATAGTCAAAGTGGGAATAATACCTATCCCCCGTTCAAGGACCGGGGTCTAGGATTACCAGTCCACCCGATGATCTGGGGCCAGGCAAAAACCCAGTGGCAAAAACTCATATTTGAGGAAAAAGCACATCTGGGGAAAACCTGAGTGGGGGCCGCGATCGTGTTAGACATGTCATCCCCTCACAGTTGACACCACTTGTGACTTATAATACCCGCACCTGTGAGTACATAGCTCGGGTATCGGGAGGAATTGGGAAACACTTCTTACATATTAATTCATGAGATAAATTATAATCTAGCTTGAAATTCTGACAATAATAACCAGGACCTTGCGTCCTATATCTTTTAACCATTTCCCTATTCCAAAGGTCCAGTCAAAACCAGTCATATCCTCACGCAGTTCCACAAAACATGGGAATCCATCCTGGCACACTCAACATATATCAAAAACACACATAGTACAGCTAACTCTGGGTCAGCTAACACTTCCTCTCTCTCTCCGGCTAACTCTACAAAAGTAAAAATAAAAATAAAAATAGTTCAATAGTTCAGCATAGTTCAGAAAAATAGAATAAGTCTTTCACAGAGTATAAATAAATCAGTTTAGACACCAGACATTTTGTTCCATAAAATGGCTAAGGGTAGCAATATGGCTGACAACAAGACAATGTCAGCTTCCAAATAGTTCTTCTTTTGTTTGCTGGATTTTCACCACAATGCTCTGTGCAACACCCCAATGGTTGAAAGGGTTATTACAGAACCAGCGGTATTAGACAGCACTGCACCTTCAGGACTTTCCAGGTTCTTGCGTGCAAAGTTTATGTCCTCATAAGTATCTCAGTTTCTTTGGCCTGCATGGATAATGACCAAACAGATGTAATTGCAAAATACTTATTGCATGGTCAGCCGGAGAGATTGATGTGTAGTCCCAGAAATCAGGTGGCACAAACACTCCAGGACGGTCTCTACAATCATACAAACACAAGGATCAATACAACATCATTAATTAATTACCTAGGCTAAACTCAAATTAGAGACTAAAGTTAAACTCTTAACTAGTGTAACATGTACTTCTCTCAGTTTTGCTTATAATTCATTGAATTTGTCCTTTATAAAATTTTGAATACATAATTTCCCTTTAGAATGCCTTGTATGGATGAGAGAAGCACTCACTCTATAGAAATGTTTGTTAGGATGAATATTAAAACACTAACATTTGCATATACATTCCCAATAAAATTTTGTTCCTAAACTTGAACCTTGATTTGATAATCTCAATTAATTACTTAAATAAAATTGGAATGCTGAAGTCTGTCAGTTTTGTGGACCCTGATAACCTCTTTGGAAACCAGTGGCCTCTGATAAGGAAGGGACAGCAAACTGTAGACATATGTTATATTAAGTTGCCCTCACTTGTCAGGTCTTGGAAACACACTTATTTTATTGCAGATGCCTCTAGGATACCACGTTACATATTGATTAAGCATACTTATTATCCTATTTTAGTTATTTCACATTGCGCAGCCTATGCAAACAATGTCTAGGTCCCAACTTCAGCTTGTACATCCTCTAAGAGCCAGTATTAATACTGTTTTATCTATCAAAACTATATATAAAGTATTAAAAACATGAACCATCTGTGTATTAGGCTGAGGTTGTTGGGTGTGGGTATAGCTTGAAAGTTATGGTTGGTATTGAGGAACCTGCCAGAGTGGGAGTCCTTAAATGCCAGCTGGGCCAGGTTCTCCCCTAGCACCGGGTTCTCCTTTGTCTCCTTGAGCACCAGGTTCACCATTGTTACCCTTAGGTCCAGGGGAACCTTTGGGGCCCTGAGGTCCAGGAGCACCAGGGAAGCCAGGGACACCATCAATACCAGTGGGGCCAGCTTGACCAGGAGAACCGGGTTCACCTCAAGCACCTTGGGGTGAATCCCTGCTATCCACAATTAAAACAGTGCTGAAGTTACCACCTCTACAAAAGTTAGAAACTTTGACCAAATCCTCTACCTTTGCCTTTAAAACTTTTCTGATTCAATCTCCTATCACCTCCCAAATTTCTTTGTCTCGCCTGCTTAGGATCACAATCCTTGTGACTGCTACAACATACCTTTTCCTTCTTTCTTTCTATCAAAACAACCTGCTGTATCTTTCTCATGAATCTTCCCAAGAAATTCATTTGGGGTCAAAAAGGGCCAGTCACAGACCAGCAAGGAACAAAAGTGAACAAGGAGGAAGCATATTCTATATGCAGGTCGGGATTACCGAACTCACACCCCCTCTTTGTGTACCACACAGATATAATATTAATAAGCTTTTAAACGTTTAATGGATAGTTAAATTTTGTATAAAAAGCAAGGTTGTCTAGGGGTATATACATCGACAATGAAAGCATAGCCTTCATATAGGGCTTGAAATACTGACAGTCTGTGTCATGAGCATAATGCAGACATGCGGTTAGGTACTTTTCCATTGTTATAATATATTGAAAACACTAAGACTTTGCAAAAAATTTTAAAACACATATTGCTTCCTGTACCTGAGGCCGTGCAAGGATGTAGTTAGGATATATTTCAAATTGAGTATCAAAAGTTTAACCACAAAACTATATGTTATACACTTCTTAAGAAAACAAGTTTAACCCGTTAGTGCGTACTTTGGATAGCCTCTTTGCATAATTTGGCTCCTAGTGAGATTATTATATTTATCCTCTTCTGGATCTGCATAATGCTTTCACTTTACCGATACAAATATAATACAGTAGTTTAGGAGATTAAGATTAACTCACTTATAAATTTCCGAAATTGTCTAATCTCCAATAAAAATACCATGTTATTATTACCCCATAATCAATGAGGCATTCTAGATGAATCTTACTTTGACACAAACAATGCAATATACTTTAAAAGTAGAGTTAACTCTGAGCTGGACAATACTCCCCTATTAGAACTCCTTTATGAGGGAGAGACATCTTGTCCATTCAATCCTTTTTATCAGTAAAAGAATGACTTTCAGGATTAATCAATTTGCAAATGGAAATGAAGAGCCACGATTTGAACAGCAGAAGTTTGCGGGGCCCCTTTCACGTGGGATGTAACAAGCGCTTTTCTTGCTCCAGGAGCGATAGCATACAATTGTTTCATTCTAGCCGGCTGGACAGCATTTCACCTTTTGTAAAAACACTAAATGCTTGCGTTAATGATATGCAAATTACTCTGCTAGTTAAACTCCTACACAATGGACAATAAAATACATGAAACACATAACACACCAATTCATTTCAAACCATATAACTCATACTCAGCATCCAATGTAATATTACATGTCATCTCACAAAACAGACGTAGTAGATACACGTATCGGGTACCCAGCAGATATGCCAATACAGAAAACACATTCATGGGCACGCAACTACACACTCTGTGTCCCTCCTAGGAAACACGGGTAGACACAATATGAAAGCAGTCTTAAACTAACACCTCCAAATCTCCATTCCCATATAGCTATACCAGACCACAACACAGAGCCTCTCTGAGCTCATAGAACTACTCCAACTCAAACTACTCTTGGCCAAAACGCTAGTATTCAACAGCTAATAAAACAGTTATTTGCTAGGTTATTTGGCTGGCATTTGTATCAGTATCACTAGACTGAAACAAACTGATTCAAATATAATTTAAAACAACACAGCAACATATAAATTAAACCACTTTCCAGTTAAGCTGCACACTTCACACATTATCACAATCACCATTTACACAGAATAAACAGTTAACAGCTGTACTCAGAACATATTATTGTAAGGTATACCAATTTTAGTTTGTATTAGATTTATTTTAGGAATTCTTATGCATACATGTTTTTTTTTTTTGTTTTTTTTTTTTCTAATTAACGTCATTACTTTAATCTACTACAGTATTGTATATAAAGAAAGGATCCATTTATATAGCGCGCTCATAACTCAAATATTTGTCTGAAACGTCCATTAACTAATCTGAGATGATGCTGCATCAATTTTAAATCTTACAGAAATTTTGCAAACATCTGGACCAGATTACACAGACATGGTTTCACCCGAATCTTTCAGAACTCTCAGAGACTTAAAAAAATTTATACTATACCATGTTTTAAAGGCATGGCAAACCTTAGACCGGTCAGTCTCCAAGAGCCTTTGTAACACAGGTAAAAACCTTTGTCCATGAGCTCTGATCCAGGCTATATACCACAATTTAAAAGAACACATATAATGTGAGACATAGAAGACACAAAACATATGCAGTAGCTGAATCATTTAAAGCATCTGTAGCAATAAAAAGGTTAGCTTTCAGCACAAAATGAAGCATGTGTTGGACCGCTGAAAATGTAAATGTTGCTCTCTTATTTACAAACAAATCATATTTACAGTATGGATCCTTTGCAACAAACACACAGGGCAGGGAAGATGTGCTGATTGGTGTTCTATACAATTAATCCCATACGGGGAATTAACTTTCAAATACTAATGAAGTGACTTTTTGTCTCAGTTATAAAAATACTGAGCTCATCATGCAAACAATGCAACACACTTACACTATCCCACTCTCATAATAAGTGTAGTGGGCTTATGGTATTAAAGTAATAATCATAGCAGGCACACAGATCCCATGTGAAATAACTTGCAATAAAACAGAGTAATAAACTTATACTTCTATGCAACAGAAAGAATAAAACAAAAGATTTAAGTAGGTCTATCAGGTACAACCTGCGAGTCAGTTCTTTTCTAATATACAGTACTGCTATCTTTTATATACATATATACATATATATATATACATATTGGTCACTCAGGACCTGAACTTACATTTCCCATACTGCTGACTCAGGGCAGACACACTACTAACTTACCAAAGTGTGTCCCCAATACAGACAATAACCCACAAAGAACACTTAAGACAAACAAAGGTGACCGGGAGAAAGAGAAGTTTGGGGTATACTTATAGATCTTTAAACTGTGCTCCTCAGAACACCTATAATCTTAATAAACCAGAGACCTCTTATGGTCTCAAAACCTGTATCTACCTGAGATACCCTGTATCTATCTTAGATACTAACCTGGGTTACCAAAACCCTATAATAAACCGGAGACCTCTCATGGTCTCAAAAACCTGTATCTATCTTAGATACTAACCTGGGTTACCAAGAACCCCTATATATATTTAGACCAAATGTCTAATAAACCAGAGACCTATTTACAGTCTCAATATAACTAAAGTCCTTATACCTTTCCTTTCTACTGGATACAGACTTACTGAACCAAAGGGGGTCATAGACAATTAGCGTCAATAAGACACAAAAAGGCTACTCACCCAATGGTTTTGCTGATCCCACTTCTAGACACCAAGCTGAAAGGATAAATGCTGTTCTGGTCTCAACTCCCCTCGATTCTCGATCCCCCGTCACCACATCAATTGATGGGAGATCTTGTTTGGCAAATAAGACACACAGACACGAAAGAGTGCTCAACAAGTTCTCAATGAGTATATTTTCAGGGCTAGCATTTATACACAGTTTGTCATGCAAACAGTGAGATCTATAGTGTCCTTGTAGTTAATAGTACATACTTGTCGGACATGAAAAAGATAAGCATTTGGATAAAGACGAGACAGGAACATCCTAAGGTCAAGGAAGGTCATACATCCTGTAGACGAAAGACCTTGGTACAAAATACATCTGCCAAAGTCAGCATAATTATTTCAAACATTATTTTAAAGCAAGAAAGAGTTTAACTATTTCATATCCTTACAGTCAGTACTAATGATTATAAACCTTATCTAAGCATAAAATACATATGAACAAGGAAAGTTAACTATTTCAGCTTTCATTCAGCATAAGTAATACTTTTTAGACTGTAAACTTGTTTAGGCAGGGCCCTCTTCACCTGCTATTTCAGAATTGTTTATTTATTTATTGTTACCTTTTGTACAGCACTACGGAATATGTTGATGCTATATAAATTGTAATTGTGCACAGATATATAACATGACAACCATAAAAACACAACCAAAAACGTTACATGCACATTTTTTACAAACCACAATGAACAAATTTAAATAACAGAGATTGTTCTAGTACACTGAATTTTAAGCTCGTCAAGGCAAACCCCTTAGGTGGGTCTCACAATTACCATTCACCTTGCTGCTTCTAAAAGGTAAAATCTCTGAGACAAAAAGTGGTATTATTTTTATTTATTTATCAATTGTTACACATTAACCCTATAGGGCAATATAAATCAGACCAAAAAAATCCATGAACTAGCCCTGTGCTCAAACCCCTGCCACTCATGGATAGCATTGGTATTCACAAAATAAAACAAACAAATGCTTCCATTCTTCTATACCACCCTACACACATTTTAACATCAGATGGTTTTTAATAGCCATCAAAACATAAGCTCCCTTGCTAACTTCAAGGTAAACTTTTAACAAACAAACAACAGACTAATTAACTCTAAACAGAGTATTCATGCAGTTGGGTTGCCATACTGTGAAAAGACTATATAATTAAATGTATATTTAAGAAACCAAGCTTTGAGAAAGTCTATGTGAAACAATGACATTTGGAATAAAGCATAAGAACGGATTTGTTTTGCATTAGTGAGCATTGTGATTGCACATAGAAATGAAGCTTTGGCAATTCCAGATAAAATATATAAAGGTTATTGAAGACAAACCTGTTACAGTGTTAAAAGGATAAGACTAAAGTGAAGTGGTTGTCCCACTAAAGATGGAAAAATTTGGACATCCACTTCACCAAATGATATCTCTAGATAGTTACAATAATTGTTAGGTATAACCTTTATTAAGCCGACTTTGGCAAAACACAAAACAATAAATAATAATAATAAAAATAAAGTAATAGTGAAACACTCGTGGGAAAAACACTGTTACAGTGTTATGGGACAAAATAATTTAATGATTCAGCTGAGAGAGCTAAACTGAATGCAGAGATAATTGGGAAAGAAGTAACGAGAGGCTATGCAGTAGAACGAGCGTGATATTTTTAAAAATTTAAAACTGACGGAAATTATAAATTTGCAAAAATGTGCGATTGAGAATAAGATCAAGGAATTAGGAAAGGACACCAAATGGTTCATAACAGAACATAAGGAAATTAAGATCTTCGGGAAGATCTAAACGGGAAGTATCACTCAACATTGAAAATCTCCTATAACTTTAAGGGACACTCCAGGCACCCAGATCTCAGCCAACTTCTGCCCATTGGAGTGGTCTGGGTGCCATCTCCCACTACTCTTAACCCTGCAACTGTAATTATTGCAGTTTTTTACAAACTGCAATACTTACATTGCAGGGTTAACTCCACCCAGGGCCGGACTGGCCAACCGGGATACCGGGAAATTTCCCGGTGGGCCATCGGCACCTGGGGCCGGGCTGGCAGCTGGCTCACCTGCAGCTGCAGAGGGAGCTCTTCTGGCGGCTGCAGAGGGAGCTTTTCTGGCGGCCGCAGGGGAGCTCTTCTGGCGGCCGCAGGGGGAGCTGGCTGTTCTGTCTCTGCTTCCCCTCCCCAGCGCGCCGCTTAATGAGACCGGGGCCAGAATATGACATCATATTCCGGCCCCGGTCTCTTTGTAGTGCACTGGGGAGGGGGAGCAGAGACAGAACAGCCAGCTCCCCCTGCGGCCGCCAGAAGAGCTCCCCATGCCAGCACACAGGTAGCAATTGTGTGTGTCTGTGTCATGGGGTGTGTGTGTGTCTGTCTGTGTCATGGTGTGTGTGTGTGTGTGTGTGTGTGTGTCTGTGTCATGGTTTGTGTGTGTCTGTGTCATGGTGTGTGTGTCTGTCTGTGTCATGGTGTGTGTGTGTCTGTGTCATGGTGTGTGTGTGTCTGTCTGTGTCATGGTGTGTGTCTGTCTGTGTCATGGTGTGTGTGTCTCTGTCTGTCATGGTGTGTGCGTCTGTGTCCTGCAATGTGTGTCTTTCTGTCATGTAATGTGTGTCTGTGTCACGGTCTGTCTGTGTCATGGTGTGTGTGTGTCTGTATGTCATGGTGTGTGTCTGTCTGTGTCACGGTGTGTGTGTGTCTGTGTCACAGTCTCTCTGTGTCATGGTGTGTGTGTGTCTGTGCGTCATGGTGTGTGTGTCTGTCTGTGTCATGTAATGTGTGTCTGTGTCATGGTGTGTGTGTGTCTGTGTCACGGTCTGTCTGTGTCACGGTCTGTCTGTGTCATGGTGTGTGTCTGTCATGGTATGTGTATGTGTGTTTTTACTCACCTTTTTTTTAATAAACATAGTTTCAGAGAATTAAATTAGGAGGAGGAGAGCTCCCCGCCCGGCGCTGGAGAAAGGTAAGATTTTAACCCCTTCCTCTCCCCAGAGCCCGGCGGGAGGTGGACCCTGAGGGTGGGGGCACCCTCAGGGCACTGTAGTGCCAGGAAAATGAGTATGTTTTCCTGGCACTGTAGTGGTCCTTTAAGGTGTGTGTCTGTCATGGTATGTGTGTGTGTCTGTCATGGTATGTGTTTGTCTCTGTCATGGTGTGTGTGTGTGTGTCTGTCTGTGTCACAGTGTGTGTGTGTATGTGTCACGGTCTGTCTGTGTCATGGTGTGTGTCTGTCATGGTATGTGTATGTGTGTTTTTACTCACCTTTTTTTTTTCCACACATCGTGCTGGTCTCCCCTCGACTGGTCCTGCCTCTATGGCTGAGATCATCAAGCTTGATGATCTCAGCCAATCCGCACTGACACAGGAAGCACCTCTAGTGACCGTCTGAGTGTCTGTCACTAGGAAGCAATGTAAACACTGCCTTTTCTCTAAAAAGTCAGTGTTTACATTGAAAAGCCTGCAGGGACAGGCTATAGACACCAGAGCCACTACATTAGGCTGTGTGTGTGTGCGCGCCTGGTAGTGAATGGGCTTGCTTGTGTGTGTGTGTGTGTGTCTGCTACTGAGTGAGCTTGTGTTTTTATGTTAATGACCTTATGTATTTCAGTGAGATTGTCTGTGTCTGCATGTGAGTATGCTTACTGTATAATTAAAAATTTTACTCTGAAAGGACCAATATTTTATATTGGAAAAAGCAATATATATATATATATATATATCAATCATCTAGGGTGACAAGACATAGCCTTACATATTACATGCGACAATATATGGCGCAATGACTTATGGGGCTGGCATAGATTTTTTTTCCAGGGCTGCTTTGGAATCCCCAGTCCTGTGTTAGAGCGTCGCTGGACCTCCTCACGCTCTGTGAGGACATCCAGCGTTGCTCATTTCACCATAGGAAAGCATTGAAATGCATTTTAAATGCTTTCCTATGGGGGTTTTCCCTCCTTCAGCAACCGGGGATTCGGGGGTGAGAGGGAGAGGGGACCTGCAGTGCTAGGAAAACGGATTGTTTTCCTGGCACTGGAGTTTCCCTTTAAACCAAACACATGGGTAAGTTCCTACTTTTGCAAATAGAGTTGGGAAAATGCTGTGGAGCCTCTGAAGTTCTAGTACAGGTAAAACAGTAATTTGCACAGTGATTTGAAAAAAAAAATATATTTTTAAAATGCATTAGATGCTAGTAGAGGAGAATGTATGGTTTTAATATACTCAGCTACATAATATACTGAGACCATATACATGTGATCCTAAAGAAGTATTTGAAAACACTATTTAAGAGGAGTTACAATAAAGAAATTAAACGTAGCATCTATGTTATAATAAGCAACAAAAAATGTCAAAGCCCTTTAAAGGTTTTTATGAAGATAAATTATCATAAACAAGAAGGTCTAGTGATATTAAATAGCCGTTTCTATGTAAGCGCATGCCAACATTAATTAGGAAATGTTGCAATTGGAACTCATTTATTGTTGGTTGTGCTCAATATTCTCCCTGTCAGACACTGGTTAGGTATAAATGTCCCCCATGAAGATAATTTAAATTGCTCTGTTTGCAAGGATCATTGATTCCCAAGCGAAAAGCACGCACTGTGCTACCGTACATGCATTAAATCTTCTACAAAGTTAATGAACATTGTATTGTGTCAAACTATAATACCTTTAAACTGTTTGTGTGATTTAATATGTGACTGTATTACGTTATGTGGACATTAAGACGTGTAAATCAGTTTGGACAGATCCTTCCCACTTCTGGAGAATAAAGAGAATCACATTCGATCTCTTCATTTACCCGGTTTCTGAGCTTTCTTCGCGTACACATTGGGGGTTAGTGGAAATGTTTCTGTTTTTTAGAGTAGAACGATATAGAAAATACTATATGGATGCAAATATTGTACAAATAAACCTACTATGCTAAATTATTACAATAATTGCACTCTAATTATTATTCGTAAATTATGCATGTCTTTCTTATTTAATTCATTTTCTCATTCTTTTAGACATTGTAAACTAATTAAATTTCTAAATATAACTTGTCATTAAGGCACTTTGCTGCTTGGGAAGGAAAATGGGCCAACTGTGGGAGAAACAAAATTGTATGCTCTGCTTGAAGTCTGTTGATATACCAACCCTCTTCAGTAATTAGAGATTAGAGAGTTATTGTAACCCAGCTGTTAGAACTCCAGCGGTAGTATATCAGTATAAACAGATAAAGTGTGTGTGGTGGGGGAAGGGGGGGTGCGGAGGGATATAACCTGTCCTACAAGAAGCATAAAAAAAGTCACAACAGAGAATAATGTTGTAGTACACTCTGGCACCTTTATGTATTTGTGGAAAGAAATCGCACTATCAAATTGGCATGGAAATACGGCCTTGAACAATGGATGTTGTTGTTCTTTAAGATCTTGATACAGATGTG